CAAACGCGTACCGTTGAAAGATGAATAATAATATAAATTTTCACAATTTTTTTTTTTTTTTTTTTTATATATATATGTTTTACCATATATCAACCATTTCTGGGGAGTGAAGAACACGCCAAGCAAATTTACATTACTCGGACTGTTATTCGCATCTTTATTGCCACATACACAACGTTTCGGCCGTTGTACGTTCCGGTCTTCTTTAGGTAATTGGAATTTCGAACCAAACCCTTTATTTCGTCCACCGGAGTAGATTGTTCTAGTTCCACGTACCATGCCTCATCCGGATGTCTCAGTTATTTCCCTTTAAATCAATACCCCAAGTGTTTAGTTCACCACTGCTGGATATAACCAACGTCCTTATCCACTGGGCCTTGTGTTAAAGACCGTGGTTCATTCCAAAGTGTATGCCAATGTCTATTTCAAAGTTTATTCCAAATTCTATTTAAAAATCTATTCCAAAATGTATTTCAAATTCTATTTCAGTGTTTATTTCAAAGTGTATTCCAAATTCTGCTCCAAAGTCTAATTAAAAATGTATTTCAATGTCTATTTCAAATCTGTTTCAAGGTCTATTCCAATGTCCATTTCAAAGCCTATTCCAAAGTTTATTCCAAAGTCTATTTCAATCTATTTCAAATTTACTCCAAAGTCTATTCCAATGTCTATTTCAACGACTGTTTGAAAGTCCATTCCAACGTCTTAAGATTATAGTGTGAAAAGTGACGTATTATTTTATGGTATATAAGAGATATATGTTAATCGAAGTAATAATATCGAATCAAAAATCCTCATTTATCTGTTCCTATTTCAACGATAACAGTTCCTTTGTGGTTGATTAGCAATGGACTTTTCTCGGATGAATGCGTTTTTGACTTTGCGAACTTGTTCAGTATATCCTTCGCTACGTTTAATTTTGTCCAGTATCAAATCCAGGCCATCTTATACACAACATCAGCGGATAAAGACCATCTCCCTGAATTTGGGGGCTGAGCTGTATTTGTAGATAGCTAAGCATGTGATCGCTTCTAGTTGCCGTGCAAGATTCATTTCTCAGCACAGGTCAATAATCATTTCAAAAACGATTTCGTCTTTGACGTGAAAGAAGTGACAAGCTTATTCGTTGCAGTTTGTCGTGTTCACCGCATTTGAAGGTTAGCCATTTCCATAATAAGATTATCTTTCCGAAACGATTGAAATTTATTTTCATAGTTTGCGTCGAACGTCAATGCAACATTCTCAGTACGTGTGACGCACCTTTTTCGTAGTATATACCTTCAGGACTTAAGCAATCATGGTTCTCCACAACCTCTTTTTTAATGTTTGTAAATGGAATATTGCAATACATTATAAAGTGTCCACAGGGTAGCTATTTCAAGATACGTATGTATATATATATATATATATATATATATATATATATATATATATATATATATATATATATTATTTATATATATATATATATATATATATATATATATATATATATATGAAGAAATATAGTCTTATATATTAATGGGATAAAGTGCTCAATATCAGAGACAGAGCGTGTGTAAATATAACAGTAAACATTGATGTCAACATTTAGAGGCGACAGGCTGCTTCATGTTAGAGGCAGTCGTCAGGCCTGAAACAGACTGTCGCCTCCTAAGTGTTGACTTCAATGTTCACTTTGATATTTACATATATATATATATATATATATATAAATATTATGATTATTCTTGTGCTTAACCTTGGGGCAAACATTCCACCTTTCTCCTCTCCTACATACAGTATCTTGATCTTTCAGGACATCAGCAATCATGACTCTCCACATCTTCCTTTTCTTTAATATCTGTAAACTTTGCGTTGCTATGATTGTTCTTGGGAAATCACATCCGTTTTTAATGCCATGTTCTTTCAGTACGCAAGAAATCACGACTCTCCATTGATATCTTTTCTTCAAAATGTGGGAAATTTTTTTTCATCTGAGTTCATAGTCCCAACGGCTTTCGGTCACTTTAGACATTTTCAAAGAGTTTTGGGTGTTAACTTCTCTTCATGTTTTGAGCGATTTATTTTATCGTTGTTTTGCATACTTGTAGCAATGTATTGAGCCCTACTGGAATTCGAGTGAACGGCTTTCTATTTTTTATAAACTTTCAAAGCTATTCACACTGTTAAATAAGGCGAGGTTGATACTAGTTGAGAGATGCTATATTAGCAACAACCTGTTGCGAGCTGAGGTGTATAGGACGAGGTGGAGCAATTGAGTGGCCATTACGATCACCAGACTTCTTGTGGCGTGTACTGAAAGATATTTTTACAGGCTCAAACAGAAAATATTTCTGAATTAAAACAAGAAATTGCTGATAAATTTTCTGAACATGTGAAATAGTATGTTAATCAAAACAAATCATATTATTTTGATGTGACAATGCTAATAAATTTTATTAAATTTTTGTAATTGCGTCGTATCGGAGAGGTCCGGGTTCGACTCTCAGACTCGGTTGAATTTGTCCACTGTTGATGAGACCGAAAAACGACGAAACGGCCGTCCAGTGAATTTCTGCACGTGTGTGTGATGAACATTCCTGTTCAAGATCTGATTAAATATGAAATTATACAAATCCATAATTATTAATCTATATTATAACCTATGCTGGACCAGCTTCTAATGTTCTGGATGGAGCGACTCGGTGAAAGAATTCATTGCTCTAGGGGCCAGTTCTGCGTGTACTGTATGCTTGGAGGCACGGTGGAGTAATGGATAGCGGCTTGGATTGAGGAATCGGAGAACCGAGTTCGAATTCCAGTCGAATCCATTTCCTTGGGAAAGGTGTGAATCCTCTTCTTCTCTCTCCAGCTGTGGGTATAGCCTTGGATGGCAACTGGTCTAGGAGAAGGAAAACTCTGAATTCAAAACCTGCGGAGGGTGAATGGAGTCTCTCTGAGCCTTGGTTGGCAATCCATTTAGTGTTGGTGTCACGATAAAAACACCCTTGATAGCCCTAGCGAAGCATCAAGAATTCAGCTATTTGACAAGATTATGAACTACACCAATCAAAATATTGGTGAGTTCAATCTCGGCTGAGGCCGCAAGATGATGATGATGATGTATGCTTGTATAGTGTCACCACCAGGAAAGATGAGCTGTGCTATATTATGTCTAGTAACTTAGTTTCCTTCTCTCCGCCGTAGCCCGTTGGCCGAATGGTATGATGCTTAAGTCTTATGAAAAACAATTTTGCTTCAAACATGTTTCATTGAATAATATAGATATATTTATATCTATTTTTGTTTTTAAACTGATCCTTTTTTGATGTTAAGATGAAATCCATTAATGAAGGTGCTGTAGTTTTTTTTAATTCGATTAAATTTCGAATTTTGGATTTCGGGTGTGTGTTCATTATTTGTTTTATTGTCTGAATGAGTGTGTCTTTGAGATAGTGTTTTTGAACGAATTGGTATTATATGTTATTAGAGCTCCGCATTGCTTTCGTTCAGTTACCTGATGTCTCTACCAAATTTAGGGTGTGTGGGTTTTTTTTACTAACACTATTTTATTTAGCTTCTTGCAAATAGCTTTTATTCATATTGTAAATACACAATGGGATTTTGATTTTAAATTGTTGTTATTCTCCACTCCCCCAACAGGCAAGAATTATACATAAAGGGACTAGTTAGGGCATTGAGGTACTATGGTGGTTGTAGTAAGAATGCGTTGTTCTGATCATTAGGAATACTGTGGTATGTTTAGGTCTTGCTGTCACCTTTTCCTTTATTGTTCTTTCACCTCACTGATGTCTTCTCATCCTCGTTCACTCTCAGAAGCTCCTGAGTTTTAGTGGCTTTGTCGCCTAGCTTCAGTTGAAATGATTGCCAACAAATAAAATTTTGTATAGATATTATAGCCTGAAACCCATACGATATATTGCTTATATATATATATATATATATATATATATATATATATATATATATATATATATATAAACCAAGGATTTTGCCAATATCAGTGGGTTAGCAAAAATATTTAATGATTTTATTTACGGTACAATATTTAGTGATGGCGTATTTAAAACATGGAGTCAACAGAAGAGGAAAAGTAGAAAATAACCTTTTATACAGGACAAAAACGATTGAGAGCTAACCGGTGTTGCTCTCCACTTATCAGGTTAATGAAATAAAAGTATGTACCGACTAAATAAAAGAAAACACAAATAAACTGCATCAGTAACACCAAATGTTTATACGCAGGTTACATTAAGTCCTAGCAGCCATTCCTTCTGTTTATAAAGAAACACCTGACTAGATTTAAAAATGTTGGCTCAAGTATTTTGAAACTTCGAGAAAGATCTGCACAAAATAGAGAACATGTTCTTCCGGTACATCACGGCACACTGACGATTTTTTCATCAGATGTGCCGCAATTCAGACCCGGATGAAGCAGACTTATGAAAAACGGTTCCTCAGCAGACATCTTCTGATAATGGTACATGCTGAGAGAAATGTATGTATTTTTATTTTATCCAAGATTGAGTTTTGATAAGTGTGAAGCGAAACCGGTGAACGCCCAATAACACCTCCCCTGTATTAAATACCAATTTCTGCTTTTTCTCTTCTTTTAACTCGATTTGAAAAATTATTGTGACTTGCCTAATAAAATCTGACATCAAGTAATCAGAAAATATTCACTCTAAATTTTGCAGGCTCTTCTTAGATTGATTTATTGATACGTATTTTTACGGCTTATCAACCTTTTTCATTTTTTTTTAAAGATAGGAAATATTTTTATACTGTAAGAAATTTTTGGAGATAATGATTTACTGATACAAGTATTACTAATTAACCCATAACTGGAGTGGAAAAGAGGTAAATTTATAACTTCCCCAAGCGGTCACCCATTTTGGTACTGGCCAGGCTCGACGTTGCTTAACTTCGGTGATGGTATGAGCACCGGTGTTTCAACGTGATGTGGCAATATGCCATTTCTACTCGAACATCCAATCTTACAGCAGCCGGTATTCCCAAGCGGTCGCCCATTTTGGTACTGGCCAGGCTCGGCGTTGCTTAACTTCAGTGATGGCATGAGCACCGGTGTTTCAACGTGATGTGGCAATATGCCATTTCTAATCGAACATCCAACCTTTCAGCAACCGGTATTCCCAAGCGGTCGCCCATTTTGGTACTGGCTAGGCTCGACGTTGCTTAACTTCGGTGAGTGTACGTGAACCGATGTTTCAACGTGATGGTGCCGTAAGCTGGAGGCTTTTGCTATTAAGATCCTAACTTAATTCTTTATTATTGTAACTTAGAACAGGTAAAGCTTTGAAAATATGGCTATCCAAGGGCGCTTATCTTGAAGAATATTTTCATTGAGTTCATTCTCTATTGGATGTCACATATTCTGTTACGATGCCAAACTATTTTTACAAAATAAATAACAACAAAATGCATAGTCTCTACCAATGGATGTCTTCTTGAAGTGAATAGATGAATATTCCCACATGTAAAAATTACATATATTTTATTCTTCGTTTTCTAACACTCACGCCTTGCGAAAAAACCTCTCTCTTTCTCATCCACCCGCCGCCACTATGCTTAGTGTTTGAACTTGTCTTTGTTCATATTCACATGCATAGACGATCAGAAAGGTTTGCACTCTTTCGCATGCTTCCTAGATTTTTGCCATCGGCTCATGTGTATAACTACTTGACAAATCTTTGGGGCGTAGTCGTACGAATTAACAAAGTTCTTGTCGTTTCTTTGTAGCTTAATTACTTTTCCCTCGTGGCCTGCTTTTACCAATGAAAAGTTTATGAAGTGAATAGAACGTAGATAAGAAGTATGTATTGTCGAAATTATTTGCAGTGTTGATGACAGTGCAATGGTAATGATAGCTGTAGTCTTAACCGTTCCCATATTTGGCAATCAGTGATCGAACAGAGTACGATTCGAGTTACACTTTTCTTTCTACACTGGCTATAAGGCTGGGATCAAAGTGTAGTATCTGTTTCTCCTAATCTCTAATGGTAATGATAATATGTGCCGTTTTTTTATATGGAAACATTCGGTATTCATTGATCGAATAGCCAGTGCGACTCGAGTTACACTTTTCTTCGCCCCCTGGCTATAGGGCTGGGATCAAAGTGCAGTATCTGTTTCTCCTAATCTTTAATGGTAATGATAATATGTGCCGTTTCTTGATATGGTAATATTCAGCATCCATTGATCGAACAGCCAGTGCGACTCAAGTTACATTTTTCTTCGTTCACTGGCTATAGGGCTGGAATCAAAGTGTAGTATCTGTTCTAATCTCTAATGGTAATGATAATATGTGCTGTTTCCTTATATGGAAACATTATGCATGCATTAATCGAATAGCCAGTTACACCCTCTCTTTGCACCCAGTAGCAAAGTATTGTATAAGTTCTTATCATCGCTCAAGTTAATTGCAGTCTTTGGATTTCATTAAACGAATCAAATAATTTTTCAGGAAACTGGGTTTGTCAATCCTATAACTGTTAGCGATCTTTCTAGTATTGATGGGAGAGGCCTCATTTTTTTCTTTGCAATAATGTGGAACGTAAAGATCTTCGCCCTGTCGACTGTGGCTGTAGAATACGCCGACTGCACCTCTTCAGAGGGGGTAAGACCTCCCACCCAACAGGCGTTCTGGGTAAGACGATAATCTACATACGCGTCCTGGGTAAGACAATAAACTACATCCGACAGCAATTGATCAGAAGGTTTTGAAGAGCGTGGGACCACCTCTTTATTGCTGGTGTTCCCAGACTCACTCTGACCCGGGGTGGTAGTACCTTTTAGGGACCCAGCTATTGGCATATAGTTAACGGGGTCAAATATAGTTAAAGTGGTCAAAACACTATGAAAGTATAAAAATTGGTTTTAATAACTGCAATAGTTCTTTGGAAATTTTTTTACTAGCAATACATTTTTGAAAAAAATATTACCAGCAATACATTTAAAAAAATATCACCAGCAATAAAAATTTTGTCGGCATTAATTAACCCATTGAAGTGGTTATGCCGTAAAACAAACCAACCCAAACTAAACCGTAAACATCTTGATTATGTCATTATTTTTTCATCAAAGATTTTGTCGTGGAGTATTTTTCAATTTCCTTCTCCACGGTTTGAATTCAGTACAATTGCCACACGCGGTTAGTGTACCTTGACCAGGCTGCTGTTATAAGCCATAGCAGAAAGGTGGGAAAACGGATCGATTCACACTATTCCTAACGGGCAATGGTCCGAAAGTGAACGCAAAAAGAGGAGGCTGCCTTGAAGGTTCGATCTCTTTAGGCAAAGGCGAGTAGTTAACTTTAAAAATAAATACACCCATGGCTTTAGGCATAGTTTAAAATTATCCTTTAAAATTGACAAAATCCGAAGCGCAATACTTATATATTCCATTAATATATATATATATATATATATATATATATATATATATATATATATATATATATATATAAAATATAATAAGGAAATTAGCCAATCACGCTAACTTTCGGTATCCTTAGGCGTTAAGGGTGATTTTTAAATTCAAAACTCTGCATGCTAAACATTTACTTTTCGCTTTTTTAACTGTTTTTGTGTCTAATACAACGCTAACCAATAACTGTTTTTTATATATATATATATATATATATATATATATATATATATATATATATATATATATATATATGCGTGTGTGTGATTGTGTGTGTGTGTTTTTTGTGTATGTATGTATATATATATATATATATATATATATATATATTTTTCAAATCTGACTAAAATACATATCTGTAAAAGGACAATATGACAAAAGGAATACTTATCTTCATTTTTTGTTTTGTCTTTATATATATATATATATATATATATATATATATATATATATACACACATACATATACATATACATATATATATATCTATATATATATATATATATATATATACATATATATATATATATATCTATATATATATATGTATGCATGAGTTGGGTTTTGCTTGGAAATCTTCCATGTAAAAATAAACAGACTATCATCACTGTCTTGTCCGTATATTGCTTAATATGTTGTACCGTAATTGTCATATTTGATAATGGCTTATGTAAGCCGAAAGCTTAGATAGGATTAAAAAAATATGGATCAATATTGTGATTTTCTTTCTTCTTTTAATGATAATGTTATTAAGCCTATCAGAGGATAAACATGTCTATATTATTTAATGAAACATGCATCAATATATATATATATATATATATATATATATATATATATATATGTATGTATAATGAAATGGATTAAGTCCAACAATTATTTAATATATTTTCTATTTATACGTTATTTTTATTTGTACTGTTTATTTAAGCAAATGCCTCTGCTTTTAATTAAAAACTATTAATTACATTAATCGGCCAAAATGTTCGAGAAATTTTCGTAGAAAATATGCGTTCTCCTGTATATGCGTTATACTGAATTGAACCTGTATACCTGATCTGACGTGCTATACTATTCAGCTACAGAGAAGCGTCTGGTTAGCAAAGTCCAATTTACCTCTTATAAGCACACACTCTTCAACGATTTTTCTCGGTCGATTATATCTGGTCACCAACCGTATTTTAACGCAAACAGTGACAAGATATAATGAAATGGATTAAGTCCACTAATTATTTAATATATTTTCTGCTTATATATATATACATATATATATATATATATATATATTCACTATAATTGAGAGAATAGAAAAGTTCAGAGCAGATAACATTAGAAAAATTTTAGAGTCCCATAAAATAAGTGGATACAACGTCTAAAAACACAATTCTCACAAATTTAACAATATATAATGGTAACAATCAAATCAAAACCTTTTCACCCACAAAGACAGGCTTAAGGAGGAATGGAGGCCTCACTTATACACTCACCCACACGATTATACACACGTACACACACCATACTCACTCACTCCCTAATGAGCCAAATGATAACTGACGTTACACATATCATACTCATTCCCTAGAACCAAATAACACACACAAACACTAAACAGAGACACATCCCTCTGAGGTCCAATAAAACTGTCAAACTCCAGAGAATTTAAAATGTATCTTATCCAGTTCTTATCTCAAATAACAACTTAAAAAGAGACTGTTTGACCAACACAAGGAATGTTAAAAGATTCATGTTAAAAAAGATAAAAAAATAAAAAACAAATCTACAGACAAAAAGTTCATTTTCTCCAACAAAAAGACATTCATTTCTGTAAACAGCAAGCACAGATGATGGCCATTTCGAAACTAGTCGAGGAATTTAAATGGAATAATAATAATAATAAAAAAACGAAAGAATATTAATCCAAACCCAGTGTGTCTAATGATTTTAATTTTTAATTTTTAATTTTTAATTTTCTTATTGTTCAAAATATATATATATATATATATATATATATATATATATATATATATATATTAAATGGTGTATTTCAAATAGAAATTAGAATGATTTTAGTTGATTCATTTTTTTCAGAAAAACCAATCGAAACTGATATTTTTGACATATTTGTTAATTTCTAAACATAAGTTAAATCTCTGTTTTAAAAATGTTGCAAAAATAAAATGTTTCTGAAACATTGTTTGCTGAAAATTAGCAAATTTAAAGTTAAATCAATCTGTTTTGAAAAAAAATATTACTTACTTATAGCATAAAATGTATAGAAGCATTTCTTAATCACGGGGTCAAGTTATTGTCACGTCTCAATCGATATATTGAATTTTATAACTGAGATAATACGATAATTTTATTCAATAACTGAGATTATATAATAAATAAATTTATTAATCATTATATTATCGCAGTTATTTTATTTTTGATTTAATAACTAAGATAAAATTATAATTAATAACATTATTAATTATTATATTATCTCAGTTATTAAATTAAAAAATAAATTATTATATTATCTCACTTTCAGTTATTCAATTTTTAATTTGATAAGTGAGATAATATAATAGTGATATTAATTATAAGATTATTTCATCTATTAAATTTCTAATTTAATAACTAAGGTAATATATTAAAATGCAATGATAGAGTTAACTCAATAATTTGAAATTGTATGGTATTTAGTATTAATTCATATATTTTAAGATCTTATTTTTTCATTTTATACTTTATTAATTGTTATATCTTGATGGCTATAAAATGTTAAAGTTATTTTATTTATT